AATTTGACATTTTATATGTAAGCTGATTTCATTTTAAAAAACAAATCTTTTAAAAAAGTAAAAATTATTAAGTTACCCCAAAATGAAGAATTTTATTATCTCAAAAGAGAACTATTTTTACAAGCTAGTATTATTCATGAAGAAGGGAAAAATATACATAAAAATGGTTTTTGGCAATATGTTGACGGTTACATAGAAGACAGAACAGTAGTCAAGCTCCTCTGATGATGTGAGCTTGCTAATTTTTTAAATGAGTACTTACTGGTAAGAGCATTAGACTGAAAAAAAAATACACTGTTATTTTGGTGATGTTCTAAATCTGTGAATACTCATAGTCTGAGAAAGCCATATGACTGCTTTAACAAACAATCATAAAGAGCATGGAATTATTCCAAACTTTTAAAAATATTTTGGTATCACTATTCCTTTTCTACCCTCAAATTCACCCAATGCATTTACTGTTTTGAATGTTGGCCAGGCTATCCTTGAACTCATTATTCTCTTGTCTCCACCACTCATGGCCACTGGGCCTAACCCAGCTTTATACTTACTAGGTAACTCAGGCTGGCCTCGAATTCATGGCAGCCCTCCTGCGTCAGCCTCCCAAGTGCTGGGATTACAGATGTGTGCCATCATGCCTGGCTACTCAGTTCATTTTTTGTTGTCCCTCCAAATACACTATTTTCCATGCTGTTCTTAATAAAAATATTTTTCCACCTTTAGAATTGAAAAAAGGTAGGAATTGAAGATAATGATGAAGGAAGCATTAGGATGCTCAAAGTGTCAAGAACTTATCAGAAGTAAAAGTGAGCAAGAATGAGTTTTACCTTGACCCAAGAAGGTGATCACAGGCATCTATTTCCTAGGGATAATATGAAATCCCATACTGTTGATTCCAGCTACTTCAGTGTGACATAATATCTATGAAAGTCTTCCAGTATAATATCAGTATGTTTTGTTGGCAATTTTGTGTACATTGGAAAAATGATAATGTGTTATTTTTTTCTCCCTCCCCCTGAACTGGGGTTTGAACCCAAGGTCTTCACGCTGAGCTACATTTCCAGCTCTTTTTCATTTTTCATTTTTGAAACAGAGTCTTGCTAAGTTGCTGAGTTGCCCAAGCTGGGTTTGAACTTGAGATCTTCCTTCTTCAGCCTCCCAGAGTACTAGGACTATTATAGGTGTGTGCCTCCATGCCTGGCTGTGTTATATTTCCCTTGGTTGTCTTTTCACTGGATTAGTAGGTAAGGACAGGAAAGTCTTGGTTAGATGGCTAGGCATCTTAAGAAAGTTGTAGTTATTTCTACCATTTATCTGTTCTTCATGAAATTTCTTCATGTTGACATTCAAGAACACTGGACAAAAATCATATTGCATTATCATGTACTTTGGGTCTTCTCAATCCCAAGAAGGTTTCACTAGGTCTTTTAGCTATTGCTATCCATTTTCATTTTGGGGTTTATGGAAATGCATTGTCACTAGGTTTTGTTGTAGATGCTGTCCATAGATTTTGGGGTTCACTATTTTAATTGCTCTTTTGGTTATGAGGTATTTGAGGGAGATTTCAATAGTACAATGATGCCATCTTTTCAGAATGTTCTGGTAGTACTGATCTTAGTAAAAACAGAGAATAACTCAAATACTCACCCTTAGCATATTGGTTAAACACTTTATAAATATATAATTGAATAATACAGTCATAGAAAAAGAGAAGAGGAATAATCTACATATATTGATACAGCTTTCCAGAATATTTTGTTAAATTAAAAAAAGGCAGTTTTCAAACCAGGATGTAAAGAATGAGCATATTTTATTTAAAATATGTGAAAATTAGGGGAAAAGCTACAAATTGATATGATTCCTTTTTTAGTTGGTGGCATTATACAGAACTCTTTATTTTCTAAATTAAGTATTTCCTCATCATTTGAATTTTTTCTTTTTTTTTTTTTTTTTGAATTTTTTCTTAAGCATAGGAAATTTTATTGAGGGAGAGTGGCCTCCTGCCTGAGAGACAGAAAGGACCCAGAAAGTGGGTTGCCACCATCATTTGAATTTTATATAATGCATATGCATTAACTTGTCATCAGAAAGAATATAGTCTAAAAACAATGGCTATACTGTGACTATATAAATTTTATTTATATGTAATTGTAAATATATATACATATATAATTGGAAACTATGTACATATATAGTGTATATATGTTATATTTATATGTATTTTTATATATTTAATATGTTATGTATTTTATATGTATTTTATTATATATATATAAAAGTGGTAGCATTACTTATCTCTGAAGAGGAAACTAGATGACTACAGATCAGGCTTAGGAATAAACTTTTCACTAGAAACTACTTTTGCTTTTTGAATTCTGAACCATGTTTGTACTAAGCATTCCAAAAGTAAATATAATCTAAAATTTCATATTTTACCCCAAATTACTTTTTGTGTAAAATTAATTTACAAAATTAAAAATAAAAATAAAATTTGTGAAATTAATTTTATACAAATTTAAAACTTATCTAAAGTAGGCAATTTTGAAAATATCTCAACCTAATTGCTTTTTAAAAAATTAATTAGAGTAGGAAATTTTTTAGTGAAATAAATGGAAGCAAAAGTTTTATACAGAAAACATGTTTTGTACTAAAGACTATTATTACAATAGTGTGGCATTAGAACATTGAGTTGTGTTCACCTAGTGGAAATATTTTAAATGACATTACTTTCACTCATTTATTCTGGCACTGGTAGGGTTTTATAACCTATAAATACTTTAATAAAAAATTTAAAAATCAGTACATTGGTATTGACATGTCTGTCCTTTGAGGCAGAGGGACAGTCTATAAAACAAGAACCAAAAGAATGTGCTATAGTAGGAACTGGCAAACTATGGTGAGGCCAAATCCAGCCTGCTGCCTATTTTCAGTAATCCTTAAGCTAAAAATGAATTTTATACTTTTAGTGGTTGGAAAAACATCAAAAGACTATTGTGTGACTTGCCAATATTATATGAAATTTATGTTTGTGTTCATAAATCAAGTTTTATTGGAACTCAGCTTTGAGTTTTCATTAATGTACTGATCTTGCACTACAAGGATAGAATTGAATAGATATGACAGAAACTGTATGCCCCAGAGAACCTAAAATATTTGTTGTCTAGCCCTTTATAGAAAGTTTGCTGGCTTTTATTTTAGAATATTTCCTTAATCTAAGAAAAGCTGGAAGCTGGGCATGATGGTGCATGCTTGTAATCCCAGTACTTTAGAAGCTCAGGCAGGAAGACTGCTGCAAGTTCAAGGCCAACCTGAACTACAGAGTGAGATCCTGTCTCACACATACACACACAAAGCTGGGTCCATTAGGACCATAAGTTTTAACATCCCCCGCCCTGTTTAATTTTGGTTCTAGTACTGTGATCAAAGAAACTGGTTGGATTCTCAGCTGGTTAATTTTTTCATTTTCATTTATGACTTGGTTAAGTTCTTGAGGCCAGTAAGTAAAGTACTTGAAATAGCTTTCTTTCTCCCTAACTAAAACCTTACAGCTGTCATCTTAGCATAAATGAAAGACTAACATATTATTTTGTGCTGGGCCACATAATTAATGGACCAGTGCACACACTGATGGGTTTAGATGAAAAGTGACTGAACTCTGAACTAATAGCTTTCCCTTTCTTGTTACTTCAAAACTAGTTTGAGTTTTAAACATCAACTGACAGGCGTTTATCTTTTCTTACATGTCAGATAAAATAGGCTTTCTGACACACAATTGTGTTGTTTGGTCCACTTAAAAAGGCAAGCAAGCAAGCAAACAAAACAAAACAAAACACCCTAAGAATTCCAGAATGGGACCTACAGAACAACACCACACTACTTAATGTTTCCTAAGGTTGCCTCCATATGCATGTCCTTCAGAAAGATTAGAAGCTCCACTACCGAACACTAAGCTATTGAACAATTGCATAGAATGAAAGTTGGAGCACTGACAGGATTCAACTTGAGAATTCCTCATATAAGGATTAAAATCTTTGATACTTATTTAAAAGTAAGACATAAATTATTACCTTATCAAAATTTAGACAAAAATTATTTTATTGTTTATCAGTCAGAGTTTTACCAGAGAAACAGATATAACACAGGATATACAAATTATAAGAAATTACAAGATTGGCTTACAACAGTCAGCCAGAGAGTTGTATGGGGAAGTGTGCAGAGGGTGTCTGCACATTGAAGACGGAAGGAATCAGTCCAGGGTCTGGAGTTCCCTGCAGAGTTCCGTGCAAGTCCGTACCAGGAGGCCGATAAGTCTGTGACGGAAGGCTGAAGGATCCAAGGTGGAAGCCGAAGAGTCTGCACTAGAAGCCAGGAGACTAAGTTCAAGCTGAAGGTGAAGTCTGGAGCTCCTCCAAAAGGAATGGAAGTATTGCTGTCCTTCTTCATTTCCCTTTTATATTATCTAGGTGATCCACCCTAGGGTGGCTCCTCTACACCCTAGGGTGTAGGATTGCTGGGCCAATTGCTGAGCCAAGTTTAGTTATGCTTCTAAACTTCTCAAGTTGACATAATCAATGAACCACTACATATTGCAAGTAAGGGTTTTGGTCAAGGGAAAAGGAGGGGTTAATGGGATTTTCTTTTACTATACTATACTTCTCTGTACAGTTTGAATTTTTGATAAATTCATATTACTTGTATTAAGAATGATTAAGAACAAATTATATTCAGAAATAAATATTTAGCCTAGTAGTAAGAAATAAGTAATCTATAATATACATGTTCACTACTTAGTTCAGAATTGTGTGGTTGTTAAAATATACGATGTGAATTCATATTTGTGCATTTATTTTAAAATGTAGAATTAGGTGTGTCTTATAAAATGTAGCATGCTTTAAAATAGATTGTCTATAATTCTTTATAAAGATAATAAAGGTCTCCAGTGAGATCCTTGATATTAATATCAATTTAAATTCACTATACAGTGTTAATAGCATGTTTTAAAATATTGGTTTAAAATTTGCCTCAAAAACTAATGAATAGTTTTTTGTCCTTAATCAAAACCAGTTGCTGAACTATAATGAAGACTGAATTAGGTAATTGTGATGTTTAACTATATAATTTATATATATGCATAGTTTCATAAATCTTCTTTGCATTGCTCTTAACTATTAGGGTTTCTTATTTAATTTTTTTCAGATGGATGTTTTTATGAGACAAAACGTAAGAGCACTTTCTGAATTTACCTCTAGGCATTAAGGCAAAAGAAGCAGGGATATTACAATATGACTTGTTTAAAACATCACTATGCTACTTTGAATGACAGTTTACAATTTACAATTAAGGTGTGGCTAATAAAGTCACTGAGGCAGACATAAGCATAGGTTTTTCCTTATACACACTCCTGGCTTGTCAGTCACACCTCTCAAATACTTTGTTGCACAGGCATGCCAATAACTAAAACCACATTTTACCAGTTTTGTGCCCAAAGGCTTTAAAAAGTCTGTGCAACCATACTAGTGTTTGAAAACCTCAGCGTAAAGCTGAAGTCCTTAAGCAGATTATTATCACATCTAAAAAAGTAAAACGTCCTAGTATTTTAATTGATATATCATATAAAATTTATAATCTAACAAAATTATTAAAGCTGTGGTTTCTGAGTTCTTGTTTTGCTCATTTCCAGTCTTTCTATAAAGTAACTTTTACACATCTAGAAAATGTTAAAATGGTTTTAAAAACATAAAAATTTTCAGTGGTTTAATCAATACTTTTGCATAGTAGTGTACAGTAAAAACAAAACAACCACCAAAACTTATGGCTGTGTCTACTCTACTCCTTTCCCATGCAGCCCCAAATATGGTCCCCTTAATTTTTTTTATTTATCCATGTATTCTATTTGGTGTCTGGTAATTTAATACATATTTTCAACCAGGAGGCACAGATTTGGGTGGTAGACCCAAGATTTTAGCCAATAAAAGTTGCATGTGTATTCTAGCACGTTATAATTTTAGAAAACTGTTTCAAACCAGCAGATTTCAAAGCTGGACACGTGGCTGTTGGGAGTTTAACTTTTTGTATGCTTGGTGGTATTGCAATGTAGGGGAAAAAAGTACCCAGAGAAACACTGAACAGAAGATGAGGTTAATCTGACCAAACATACAACTGTAGGCTGAATATGAAGAAACCAGTTACATCTATGACCCTAAATAGCTATAAGAAATTTTTAGCTGACATAGACAGTAGTGATATATCCTGGAGATAAATGTCATCTACAGCTTAGATTATGTCTTCTGATGACTGTTGTCTATTGCTTGGAAAATTAAAAGGTTTACTCTAGTCTTTTTAGGCTTCTATTTCCATAGTCCTTTCTAGCTTCTTATTGGTGAGAGGCTGTGGTACACAGAAAAAACAGATGTAGAAGTCAAAATTACTATGTAGTAAAAGTCTGTGTATATGAATATTGTACACTATTATATTTTTCAGTGGTGCAATTAAGGAACCAGGAGTGTTGTTTATGCCTTATGTAGTTGTTAGTGATATTTTTCTGGGATTCAAATAATAGTGTAATTCTTTTTTTCCCCTCTCCTGCATTTGAATGTAAATAGGGGAATTAGAATGCTTTTAGGTTTAAAAAATAAAAGAAAGTCTTTTAGTAGTGCTTTCCACCACTGTGAATATGAACTGTGGGATAAACGACAAGGTAGGGAAGTAAATGGCAGCAGAAAATGCTGATGACTGAACTAGTAGGCCCAGTGAAGGTAATAGAGCCATTCTGGTAAGCACATGTAACACTGTCAGGATTAAACGTCACTCTTGAGAAAAATGCATTTGTTATAAAGTCAATAGCAAAGTCCATAATCCTAGTACCTAAAGGTACTAGATGTGATCAAAATATTATTTAAATTAAAAAATTTTATTACATTAAATGATTAAGCTCCCTCACTTCAAACCATTAATCTTCCTCACTTCAAACTGACATTACATTGTTCTTTCCATTTTCTAAAGCAGTTCTGTATGTCTTTTGTGTCTTTATGAGATATGATAAAAAATATGGTGAATATTTCTGCAGAGTACCGTCCAACAGAAACCCACTACATAAAAACATTACAATGTGTCCACATCCACCTTACTCACTGGATCTGCTACTGTGCAACTTCTGGTTCTTTCTTTGTCAAAATGACCATGAAAGATAAGGGTTTTGTATCAATCTAGGATACTGAGGCAACCCCAACAGCACAACTGAAGACACAAAAGAGGATTGCCAGAACTGGTTTGTGAAGCAGAAGAATGGTGGAATAAATGTGTTCAAAGCAAGAGGGAATATTTAGAGGAGGATTAATAGCAGTGTGTCTTTAAAATAAGTTTTAATTTCAATGTTCACTGTATTTCTAGATCACACCTCATAGTAGGAGGCAGTTTGGGTGTAGCAATTGAGGTACATAAATCACAGGTGTCACATAGGGAATAATAAGTCAGAATTTCAAGATAGTAATCTTCCAGTACAAGACTTGACATTTGAGCTTTTCTTTTAGATTCATAAATCCTAGTGTATTGGTAGATGACTTCCCCATCTCCTACGCCACATCCTTAATTGTTATAGGACTTGTCTCTAAAAGGTTCTTGATTAGTCAAGCATTACTATATGTAGGTATATACTTGTTGCTTCCTCCTAGTTATCTCAGTTAATTAAAACTAAATATGTAGCCAGAACTCAAAAGTGAAATCTTACACTTTTTTGAGAATGTTAAGTAGAAAAATGAGGTTAGAAAGATGAGAGATGAAATAATCTACGAATTCCAGGAACATTTAGATATATTTGATGAGAAGTGTTGGCTGTCCCACTTGGGGTTGGATCTTTTCTCTGAGAGAAAGTTGTTTAGGACAGATACCTCCACACTCTCAAAAATGTACTCTTAGGGACTGGTCCACTGGTGGCACTCTTTATAGGCAAGTAAGCTTTCCGTAAACAGACTCATAAGAGTTTGAAAGCTAAGGAGAAAACCAAAGCTTTATTCATATACATGATTACTACTGACATGAAAGGTCAACCTTGGAATCCAGGCTTAAGAACATAACAAATTATAGTTTAAGAGTGTCTGGAAGGTTTTTCTGGTTATAATTCTACCATGTAAGTCCAACTTCTTTTAGGATTGAAACCATTAGACTTCTGAGGTGCTGACACAGTAGGAGGTGTGTTTTAGTTTTTTTTTTTTTTTCTTTTAAACAAGACACTAGGGAAAATGGAAGATCTCATGTACCATGACCATAGACCAGAAATATGGAAGTAGGGGTCTCTGGTTAGTAAATGCACTGTTTATCCTACCAAGCACCACTTCTTTCATTTTAGTGACAATGTTAAGTCCTGTGTTTCCTGGTATGAAAAACCCTCAAAGGGAGCAATATTATTGGTCAGAATTCTAGGCATGGATAAAATAGCACATTAGCTAGGTGGTTTGTAGAATATGCAAAGGCAGTGCCTTAGGTGAAGCTTGTAGTATTTAAATCAGAAATACAACATAGCTGTATCATTTTGCATCCATTACATCTCAGTGATTCTGTAATTACTATATAAACATTAGAATAATTCATTGTGTCTTTTGGTCTAGGAGTGTCACAGGGGCCTAATTTGAAAAATAATAAACAATTTTCCCTTTGTTTCTTTATATATATTTTTTTATTTTAAGGATAAAAGGAGGGAAACATTAACAGACATACAACATTTTACAACATATCACAAGCACAATACAGACAATACAGAGTTA